TCTTTCAACCAATGACAGCACACGTTATATCTGAACTTTACTATAATATCAATTACTATTTATATGTTTGGCCGTCACCACACTAACGTGTGCTCTTGCGCGATATTTAAGTTGTCTAGATCGTGGCAGCTATATTAAGCTATTTAATCGTGACATCTGTTCAAGGATATTACGTTCTTTCATCATAAGTTAATTAAATGCGTTTCTTTTAAGTTATCAAAAGCCATTGATGTGCTTGTTTGCCTAACGCGCACCTTAGATATTTTCGAGATATTTCGAGGAAGTTCTCGAAACGTAAACACACGCATGCAATAACTACGCACGTGCGGTGTTCCGTTCGCGTGCGCTGTCTTTTGCAATGGACTAAGAGTACGCGTGCAGCTTAGTTGCACATAGGCAATATTCATTAACAAACCTGAACGACTGGCACAATATGGTCGATCTCAAAGGGCATTTCTAAGCTACTGACTAGCTACAATCAGGGACTTATGTTTCTTTTCTAGATTCTTACAGTGAGCGTCTCTAAATTTCTTAGTTATGTGTAAAGAAAGAACATGTGAACATGTAATGTTAGACTAACTCGGCACTCACGGTCAACTTTGTCTGTTTTTAAAGCTAACACATATGGGGAGCTATTTGTGCCAAAAATATCAATCGCTAGTGGTAAAAATCAATCGTTACTGCCAAAATTTCAATCGCTTGTGATAAATCTCGATCGGTACTGCTAAAGTATTAATCGCTATTTTGGCACTAACGATTGAGTTTTGTCGCTGCGATTAATATTTTTGGCACAAATGGCTCCCCATAAACACATCCTCGTCTACCTCGTTTTGCGATCGACTATGTTTTCCTTCGATTGTTTTCCCAGATCACGTATCTGTTTACGTTTTGGTTTTCTTATCGAGAGCCATTTTTATCAACATCAGATGCCAAGAATCATCAAAACTGATAGAGCTGTCTTTTTAAGCAACGTGCCAATTTTACAAAGAATATGAAGGACGGAAACATAATGTTCTTTAACATGTCTACAGGAGAGGAAAAGTTTGCTTTTTATGTATTCATGTCTACAAGAGACATGAATAATTCAATCATTTCTTCACAATCCAAATGAATCTGACAACTGTTTGCATCGTTTAAAATCGAAGAGAAAAAATATGGTACATTTTCTTTTTTTTCTCCCCACTGACTTTTAAAGAGTGCCGCCCCCACATGACGGCTACATCAGAGGGTTAAGGTAGCGATAGAGTAAAATTACGTGATCGCAAACAAGATTTTAAGTTGGTTTCCACAGTTATGTGAATGTGGGGGAGATTATACTTGACTTTAAATACATGTGAACTGCGGATAAAAAAATGAATATGGAAGCGGTCTTCGTAGTAATGAACACTACTTAAGCAATGGTGAAAATAAGGCCTGAAAAAGGAAAATAACAAAAAAAATTCAGGCATGTACGGAATTTAAACCTTCGCGATACCGATGAATCGCTCTTCCAACTAAGTTCACAAACCACCGGCAGCTGATCATTCTGTTGGTTCGAAATAAACCGGTGAAATGATAAATAAATGGCTGTAAATATATAATGTAAACTCATACTGCTGGTACGAACTCAAATCAAGTCTAACCGGCTGGAAGTTTTTTCAGCTGAAATTTTACCCAAGAGGACAGTGTTTTCCGCCTTCTGGGTTAACAAAAACACATGAATGAAACGGTGCTAAAGAAGGTCCCGAGAATCTTTCACCTTAGAAAATTGGTCAGTGGTCGAGGCGGGAGGTCATGCTTCAATTCATTTGAACACAAGTAATAAGGTTCGTTGGCAAGGCCGGCAACCGAAGTGGCTTTTCACCTATTGGTGTTCATGATGTCGAAACTTGCGCATCTCTTATAGCTTTTCACCGTCTAAAAAAAGACTCAAGTATTAAACTTGAAACCGTTTTGAGATTTTTACTTCAGAACGCCTAGCCGCTTTATGGGCTATTTCGTCGCCAAGCCTGGCTGCGAAAGGAATGGGAAAGAGAAAATTTCACCATTTTCATCGAGAACCCAAACGTCCTTGAGCCCCGCAGCCTTCCTTATACTCTGCGGCATTACTCTTGAAAACTGAAGCCAACTTCCCGCAAAGGAAATGCAAGACTTATTTAATCGCGTCTTAGTCTCGCGCTCGTTCTTGCGTCCAATAGGCTGTTCATTGGTGTGAATTTAATTTAAGTTCTTACTAGCTCTTAGAGGAGTACTTCAATGAAAAGTTCCCTAACTGAAATTTATGAGGATGGAAAAGGGTTTATACCAGACGCGTGATTGAGCCGGGCCAAAACTATAATGTTATGCGCGAATTTTACAGAAGGGCGAACGTGATTCATGAATTAATAAACTGACTTCTCGAGTTCCCTGAAACTCCGTTTTCCTTTTAAATTCGTGGCGTGCGAAAGCGTTTAAAGTACGAGTCACGCGTGAATTTTTCTAAAAAATCCGTACTTGAAACGTAATCGGGTCCTCGACTTTACAACCCTCTTTTAATAAAAGTAGTTGCAGTGTTTTAACTGATTCAAGTTTGATCATCTGTTGCAGTATGAGAAACTAAGTTTAAATTACCAGGAAAGGTGTTCAGCAAATGTTCGATCGAAATCCTAAGTGCAAAGTGTCATTACTTGAGGATGTTCTCATGTCGAATTTGTCGTCAAAACTGCCATTTTTATGTTGTCTATAAAGCGACATCGGAAATGATGAATCTAAAAAATAAAATTTAACAAATAGTAACAAAAAAGTCTTTCGTTACCTGAAAAACGCCTACTTAAAGCGTTCAATGCGAAGAGTTGGCTCAAATATCTTCACCAGAGCCACGTAAATTGGATAAACGATTGAGAAAACGAGACTTAGACAGCCATAGCGACACAATGACTCAGTAGGACGTGTCTCTTTTTAGTGCGACTGTGCATGGCTAGCTTTAAAGCCAACGATATATAATGCCTCCAACGGCCGTGACAAATTCTTTAGAAGTAGGTTAGAGCACCTTAGCAGCAGTAACAAAAGCAAAATCATTTGAGTGAAATGTGCTAAATTAAAAAACTGGCTAGCCATCGGAACAATAGCGGCCACCCAGCTGGCGAGAATGGTTTTTAATCGTCTGCTGTCACTCTGATATCAAAGTAATTAAGACATTTCAACACCGACGCAACTCTTCTCTTTTACCATAAAACCTGTTATGATCTATAATTTGAATCAGTTTGTAATCCTTGATTCAATTTGCACCGGTAAATTTAATCGAAACGATGTGATCCTCATCGTAGTACATACATGTATTCATCAAAGACATATTTTGTTTTAACTCACTTGGAAGATAAGTTTGAAAAATGAGCAAAAGAGATGTCTCGAAAAATAAAATTTTTTATAAAACATACCTTTCGGCTGACTGACGATTTGGAGGCGGATTTTGCATTAGTGTATATGTCAGAGCTAGAATTTTGCGCCTCTCTTAGTCGGCTACCAAATGTAAACAACGGTCGAATTTTAATCAATTATTGCTTAGATCTTCCTTAGAAAGAAATTTAAAAGCTAATGGTTTGTCAACATAAAAAAAAAAAAAAACGGCTGAGTAATTTGTCAAAAAAAAAAAAACAGTAATGGTTGAGCCGGTTTGACAACGTTTTAAGGGAAGAAGTGCCGAATAACTGAAGATACTAATCAGAATGATTTAATTAATTTTAAAACTCTCCCTTCTGTTAGCTGTGAAAGCTTTGTCAATTAAAAAGAATTTCTACGGCAAATGTCGCTCTGAACTCCAAAGAATCACATTTTTCAGTAGATCATAGCAGTAAAGGCGATTAATATAAATCCAATTCGCAAATTGAAAAATTGAATTGATTCTTCGTGGGGGGGGGGGGGGGGGGGGGGAACAGCAGGTAGATGTATTGGTTGAGGGGTAAAAACAGACCCCCTGTGTAATTTTACTAAACCCTGTGAACCCTATCCAGCTCAGAGCCTCAATGGCCGTGTTCGTTTTTCCGCTGGAATTATTTTTCCCGGCCTTATTCTATTAAATATGATTTTCTGGGGGTTAAGTGTTGGCAATCACTGTATAATAAAACCTGAAATCAGCCCATGATACGTTTTCAGAATCTAACGCCTGAGCGTAATTCTCATAAACCGGAACAATACTAAAAACACGTGGCATTATTAGTTGAAGACACATTTAGAAACACTCACTAATAGTAAGCCTTAAATACAGCAATTTAACAGAATCATAAAACTTTTTGTACTGCCATTGCGTTTCGTACAAATTTGATTGGTTAAGTGTAATGCAGTCCATCTGCTGTTACCATATTGAAAGAAGCTTTTATTATGGAATGTCCCGTGAAGGTAAACTAAAAAAGTAAATAAAAAACGCTCAGCCCGGTTAAAATCAATAAACAAACAGGAAAAAAGTTTTCGGCGCAAAACGATTTTGAAGACGAACCCCTCAGGAATGAAATTGTGCAGAATTTTTGTCTGTGGTCAGATTTGATAGCCGATTAATTGGCTCAAAGTCGCACTTCATTCGATTTTCCCACTAAGTCATGCAAAAACGGGAACATTTTAGGCCGGATAGCGCATTTCATAACCTTTCCATTTATACATAGTTTATGGTGGTTATGCTTTAAATAGCGCGTAAAAATTTTCTTTCCTTCGCGAAGGACACCTGCGAAGGTCTACCTTATCCTTATATGCTCAATTACGAATCAAAATTTCTAACATTCGATAACTCCGAACACCACGACTACAATTTGTCACTGAGAGGAAAGTGGTTTATATGTTGTGTCAATAACTTCGGCTGAAGTCCTGTTAGTTACAACATGGAATCCCAACAGTTTGGCATTGAACTTCTTTGGCAACGTCTCCTGTCTGGTCTTTCCTTTTTTTTTTTCTTTCTTTTAAGATGTTTAATAGCGTAAGTATATTTTGTTGTACTCTCCAAAATCTACGGAGAGAGACAAAAAGGCTCCACAAAACAAAGGACTTGTAAGACATTAGCACAAGGATCATATTTCATGTAATTCAAATGAAGGTGTGATTGAAACAAAAGGTGTATACTACTTGAATGTTCAAACTTAAATGATCTAACTAGTTTTCGTCGCTATACCGACTGATGCAGCGCGAAAGGTAGCTTTTAGGAATTTTGACTGCAAAATTGCAAAGTAACTATTATAAAAGGAAAAATAGTATCCACAGCAATTTATCACTATATTACGAAAACAAGAACTTATCACCGAGAAAGCATTTCGTAAGCGTAAAAAAGACCTTGCTTTGTAAACACCAACATCCATTGGTTTGCTGCAGAAAGACCAAAACTTTCTACGCAGTAAAAGTCTTTACATGAGATAAAAACAAAACACAACCAAACCGCTTGCGACAATTATAATACTGTGTAACTGGTTGTGCATCATTCTGGTTAGTTTTGAGACGTCACTGTCTGCTGCCGCATTTGTGCCAAAAGCTTCTCTTGTCTAATGAGTAGTTCCTTGATGCGTGCTTCCCGATCTAACGCGGAAGAGAAACAGGGCTCCTCAGCGCTTAAAAGAGAAGCAATTGGCCGACCGGTGAAAACGCAAATCTTTTCAGTTGGTTTTTCACGATAGAGGTCGTTGAAATCTTGAGCAGCATTGGGTACATTCCCAGTACTTTGCATTGGTTTGCCAGAGCTACACATTTCTTTACTCGCTCTGTCTGCTCCGACCCCTAAGTTCGTCGGTGAGGAAACTGACCATACACCTGAGATCAAAAGTAAAAACAAATTGTTCGATATTTAGGCACAACGTGTGAGTGACGAATGGACGAATGTCACCCGGAATCTAATAATCATTGGTTTTACTTCATCACGTTCTGTGACTGATCAAACAGAAGCTACAAAAAAAGAAACACTTGCGACACCGTCTCAGTTGCAAACTGGAAATAGCTGCAACATCGACACTAAGTCACCAGCGTTTCCCCGCGCTTGAAGCTTTTTGTATGTGTTTCCCTTTTCAATATAGTTCTCATTTCTCCTTTGTGTTCTCCACACACATTTGATCGGCAACTTCACTGGGTCAGGCATAAGTGTAACACCACTCCATTCAAATACACTCCATGCACGATTAATTTTCATAGTCTTAATTTCAGTTTCCCCGCTTTCAAATATTTTTGTTGTTTTCGACAGACACTACTGCAAATGACTCGCCGGACTCACAGAAATAGTCTTGAAACAGGGCTAGTGTTTGAAAGGATACTTCTACAAAAGTTCAAACGCTACGCTCGAAATATTAAATCACCATACTGAGAGCCCTTGATCCCATGCAACACTATCTATACACACTAACAATTACACACACACGTTCTCTGCCTTTTATCATTACCTCCGGTCCTCTTGAAGACTATTTTTGTCCCTCTATGTGATACTCGATGAGACCCCATGCTTTCAGGAAGAACACACGCTTCAGATAGGTCTCTCTTATCGAGAGAAACTTTAGATATACTCTGGACTTCCTTTTCAGGAGGAAGTTCTGTATTGCATTGAACTGCTACCACACTCTTCTTTTCCTTTTCAGTAGAAACTACTGGTGACCTCTGTTCTTCCCTTTCAGCGCAACTACCTTCACAACCCTTCACTTCCTCTTCAAAGGAAGCCACAATTGAACTTTGTTCATCCTTTACTGCAGCAACCGCTGTTGCACTCTGCTGTCCTTTCCCAAAAGAAACTACTGGTTTGCATAGGTCACGTCTAGAAGAAAGTATTGAAGTACACCCATCCTTGTGAACGGGAGAGGCCACTGATGTGCACCGCTGAGGGGACAGCTCTGGAGTTATTTCATCAGCACTTAGCGTTTCTTCACTACAGTTGCTAAGGAGGTCAAAATCAAAATTTCCTCTGCCTGGATTGAGCTTCCTTGGAAATGACTTCCGTGGCCGTTTGCGAGGTATTAAGCAGTCAGTTTGACGTTTCTTTGCATCACATCCAAGCGGATTTATTTCTAATAACTTGACACTACCAAAGGAGGATTTTGGATTCTTTTTGTCTGCCTCTGAACGATCAGCAATTCCAATATCTTTGCCGACGGGGAAATCATGAGTTTTCATGGAAGAGGTAGGTGTATTTTCAGTTTTGACGCTTTCATCTGCTTTTCGTCGACGACAGTCATTGCCAGATGATGCTTTCAAATCCTTGTCTGTAAAAAGCTTTGAATTCTTGTCAGTATAAAACTCAAAAGAGTATTTCTGAGTATCGGCCAACACACCAACATTACGCCATTCAAGGGTCTCTAACTTGTCATTATTCTGCTTCCCGAGGTCAGAAGCTGTAAAAGAATTTGCGCTTAAATTAACCGAAGAGGACCATGTTTCAGATGGTGGGATCAATTCTGCAACAGCCGCTGAGCACTTGAAATTGTCTTCATTCTTGTTAAGCAACAAGTGACGTATTAGTGACTTGCCTGCTTGATTATCGCCTGTGGCAATCTTGTCACAGCTTAACCTGTATTTCGTATCGGAGTTATCGTGGTCGTTTACCAACGTCCCATTATATGGTGATCTCTTGTCATAAAATTCCCTTGCGGCCGAAGTTGAGGATATCGAATTGTAAGCTCGTGAATTACCTTGAATGAAATGCTCCAAACCAAACTCCGTCAACTGCAAAATAATAATATAAATACGTCTAAAGAGGAATCAATTTTTTAAGGTCCTAAGTCCAGAGTATCACTTAAGATTGTAGCAAGGCTGGTACATTACGGCAATAAACAGACTCACCGAAACTCCTTTCACATTTGTAACCGACTCTAAATGTTCTTTCAGATCAATATATGATCCCTGGCTGGTTAATTCCCCAAGTCCTTCTGAGCTGCTTCTGATTCCAATTAAAATCGAGCGCCAGTTCTTGATCATCGACTCCACCGTGGAACATTGTGGCTTTTCTGCATGGTTGACCCCTGAATTCATTCTTTCATGTGCTGAAAAGTGCACAGCAAGAAGTTTTGGCATGCTATCATGGTCATATGCCACACCTCCATACATATTCACAAGATCCTTATCATCAACGCGCTTATCACAACACTCACTGTGAGTAGCTAATTCCATATCCTCGGAGCCTCCACTCCTACAAGAAACAAATCCCATTACGTCACTCTCAGATGGATCACTACCCTTAACATGTCATTATAGAAGTTAAGGTTGCTGTCAACAAAATATTACATCGATTTTGAAATCGCAAAATTCAGTCGCTCAATACAAGTTTTTATAGTCTGAGTGGACAAATATTTTATTGCTGCTGTATATTGAGCTGATTTTTAAAAATTTGCAAAAGTTGTCTCTAATTTTCCTGCAATTTGATAGATTTATTTAAACAGGCCTTGAAATTTGATTGATTGTGGTGTGTTAGTAGAGTTGTTTTATTGGCTAAGAAATAGATGCGATTTAGAGCATAAAATGGTGCAATTTATTCATAAATTGCACTAGTGAGAGCCAATTAGATCAGATCACGAGTGATTTCAAATTAAATTCAATAAAAATCAAAATCTTCTGTTGCACAATCTACACAAAAAATAATATTCACAAGGCAAAAGAATTTCCAAAATTAGCGAAGCTCCACTTTTGTCAGCAAATGCAGTTTTCATTTTCCATCCATAATTCGCATCGCGTTTGGGAATCGTAATATAATTCGCTCGAAAGCTCTTTCCATCGCTTTTAGCCCTTTCACCCCTAATAATGATTAGCATCTAAATTCTCTTTATAACATCACGCTAAATTACACATTAAGGTAACAAGAATAAGGAAATGATCATCAACTTTAGAAACTCTTGATTGTTAAACAAATTCTCCTTGTCAGCGCCTTAGGAAATGTATAGAGAACAGTATGGAGAATATATATGCTGATGTTAGGGTGTAAAGGGTTAAGAGTTAAAAGACCATCGCTTGAAACGGAATAGATTAACTTTCATGGAACGGATAAATCATCTTGAAATCTCAAACTCGCGACCTAACCGGTCGGGAAGCGGAGGGAAATTTCAGTCGCGAGGCATTTGTTTGTTGGCGTCATTAGCGCGCACAACAGGATTATGAAGCACACTCGCTCTATTGGATGCCTTAATTTGCCAGCTATGTTATGAATACATTATATATCTGCATGCTATCCCCGGTTTTCAAATCATGTTGTTCTCACATGACTTCAAAGGACATGCAGAACCACAGTTTACTCCCTCAATTGCATAAAACGCTGACACCTAAAAAGCACGATCCCTGGCTGATGAGAACCAACAGCTTTATGGAAAACGTTCGTTCAGATCCATGGACATAAAAATAAATTATTTTTTTTCACTACATATGAAATCCTTTGCTATTATAATTATTTCTCCCAGGAAAGCATAGATAGCTTCCATCCATCATTCACCACAAGCTAATGATGGTGATAATGCGTACGTTTGTACTCAGGGAGCCGTAAGGTCTCATCGTTCATTGTAAACACTCTTTTTTTTAAGTGTCAGTTGAGTGTATACAAAACATCCATGGTGCATCCAGTAGGCATTAAAATGATGGGAATTCTTTCTGTATCTCATATACAAATCATGAATGACGAGATTTGTCAATAACTGAATAATAAGAGTACTAGTAAGGTGGCCAGAAGGTCAGTGGGCAGATTTTTATCATTCATGCAGTGGATCATCTGAAGAATAGAGATTGTTTGCAGTCAACAGCAACTTTAAAAGTCAGCTCTCAGTCCTTTGTACCCCCCTAATAGTCATGTCAACATTTATCATATCAACCCTTTGACCCCCTATGAGTGACCAGCATCAAATTTTCCATACAACATAATCCCTGCATCAAAAATTAAGGTCATAACAATAAAGGAAAGGATCACCAGCTAAGGAGGCTCTTGATTGTTCGACAAATTCTCCTTGTCATAGCCAAAGGAAATGTATAAAGAAGAGTTTGGAGAATATGGATGCTGATGTTAGGATGTGAAGGGGTTGAGATATACCCACTATAAATGTCAATAAGTTTACAGCAGGTTGGTAAATGGCAAGAGTAATTTGAAATATTTTCAATTTCCAAATTGATTTTACAAAAATAATTCCAAGCAGCTGTTCTTAATATAATGCAAGTTGTACTTTTGACCAACACTAAAACTATTTTGACAATTTTCTTGTAAGAACCGCATCTTTATACAACCTTCATCTAAACACATAGGAAAATCAAAGCTGTGAACTTGTGGGGCCATCCAAAGAAACTAAAAACTGACAGAAACTATAAAAAATTCAAAAACTTAACACTAAGTTTGAGGAAAGTTTCCATTTATACTAGTATATGAATATTATCATAACATGACATAGTAGTATATAATATTCTTAAGTGTGTTGGTCAATGTTTGATAGGTTTAAACATTTACATCAAAAATCCTCAAAGTATCACATTTTGTCATATTTTTCATTAAAGAACTACACTATAGAAATCTTATTTTCATTTCTTTTGATGATTGGCTGTTTGCTTGCTTGTTTGTAAAATGTGGAATTACCACTCAGCAGACTTGGCATGTGAATAAATTGTCACAAATACAAAGATGTTTCACATACAGGTAAAGGTCATCAAGACCCAACATTTACAAAAGAAAGCTCTGACACATGAATCTGGGCCAAACAAAAGTAAAGAATTTTGAGAGGTCAGCCACAATTAGTCAATTTAAACCAACAGACTGTATCAGAGTCTTATCACCCTTTGACTCCTAAGAATGACTAGCATCTAATTTCTCCTTACAATATCACCCCTGAATGATTGAATCACACATTAAGATCACGAGGGTAAAGGAAATAATCACCAACCAAAGAAGCTCTTCATTCTTAAACAAATTTCCTTGTCAGCACCTTAGGAAATGTATAGAGAACAGCATGATAGTGTAAAGGGTTAATACAGTCACCAACTTAACAGAAAATCTGACCCATCAGATTCAGGGGTTTCAAAATGTTTTGGAGAAGGTGTCAGAGTTGGCAAAAGTAGGTGACAATGAAAAGTTTATTATGGGCCAAAGGTAAATATTTTGGCCAAAGTAACTGGTGACATGTTATCAGGTAGCCAGCAGCAGCCACCTGCTTGTTTTCAAACCCCTGCTGATTTGTACCCTCCACTTGACAAATAACTCTTCAGTCACTCTTCAGATAATTTCCACTCAGGTTGTGCAACAAAATGTCATTCACTGCCACGGACCCAACATAAGTCCTTTTCAAGACTATATTCAACCAAACAGAATAACAAGATATAGTACCAATGCTTTCAATAACAGTGAGCGATAAAAAAATTTTTTGCTCTTAAATAAAACCTGCTGCACTGAGTTTTTTTTCTCAGTTGTATTGATTTCTACAAATTAATTCATTCCTTGTAGTTTTAGAAACTGAGAGTTCCCATTGTCACATAAATCTTTCATGAAATATCAATATAATCTCAGGAACAAGAGCATTATGTAGTTACATAATAGTATCTTAAAATATTGTTTTGACCACATTAACTGGTTCTATCCTTACTTCACAGAGAGTAGATACTACAAGTTAACCACAACACAATTGCAACTGCAAACAACAGTAGCTTTGAAAGCAAAATGAGTTTTGAAAATAATGCTGGTGTTGCAAGTAATGTTGTCGTGCAAATATGTCAATAATGTACCTTTTGTTGGTCTTGTCACAAATATCAGTATCATGCTTAAGGTATAGTAATCAAGAAAAAGTGTTCTTTCAGAAAAAAGAAAATCACCAATTGTGTTAATATCCAGACAACTTCATTGCCAAACATCTCAGTATTAACCTGGGTATCGTTGGGAATGAAGTTAAGGCTGTCTTCTATCGTTCTGTTTGCTGTAAACAGTGTTGGCCTTTAGTGGAAAAATACCATTCGAATTTGGTTAAAAGGCTCTCCATATCCCGAGATTTTATAAAACTTGACGCTGATTCAATGATTTGGGCAAAACACACTTAACAATATGTTCTACCATCATGCTATCCCATTGTGGTCGCGCAGACATATTGTTCATTGCGTACTCGATATGCAGTGACATGTGTTCAAGTTGTTGTAGCTCAGAGACTGATGTTTATGAGTACTAACGCCACCATTCGTGGTACAGACTTTAAAATCTCTAATCGCGTCACTTACCGTTCAGCTGTAGCGATGTTTTGCCAGTATGAAACGAACGACTATAGTTCACACCGTGCTGAGAAGCACTGCAACGCTCTGTCACCGTTCCTTCGACCCGATATGTCACAAGGTCACCACAGATATCGTTATGTCCTTCCCTAGTTCGGTTACTCAAGAAAAATATTTACCCAAGCGTTTAAAATTGTGCTTAAACGAAGGCAAAAAGCATGAAATTACTCTAAAGAACTCTTTTAAAATGCAAAGCTTTTGTTTGGCGGGAAAACGATGTCACGCGTGGAGGATAAGCAGTCACGTGATATCCGGACTAGAATCATCAGATATTGTCCTTTGTTAAACGTAAATGAAGGCCAGAATTGCACGATTAACCTCTAGTTTTTGGGGTCATCTTTCCAGGGTCCCAGTGGCAAAGGTGTTTTGCAAAGCTACTGATCTTGACCTTTTGTTTAAACCACTGAACATAAGGATCGAATCGGGAAGGAAACTTATTTCAATAGGCCTTATTGTCAGAAATGTCAGAGCTCCGGAAATACATTACGCACGTTCATGTTCGTTTACTATTATTAAGTCGTATATATCCATACTTGGTGTCGCTGATATTATTGTCCATCGCATTAGTGAAAATCAGCCGAACCGAAACGAAGTACCTTAAATGTCGGGCTAACCACCAAAGGAAGTAATGAATTTTTTATCGAACTGATTCGTTCTGTATAATTAAAAACCAATTTTCCACCTTCAGAAATGCCGTCGAAGATCGGGCTAGAGGTTATATCCGAGCCCATCGTTAGAAAGTTATGGACCTCCCATACAGGGACGTGGCAGGGATTTTTACATGGCACTTCCTACACCATCATATTACTGAAGTTTGCGACATGCCAGGTTATTTTATTACGATAATTAAATTATCACTTTTCTTCACAAGATGAAAGGTTCCGTGCATCCTTAGACCCTCTAACCCTGTGACCCAACTCCTTGGCTTCGACCTTGTTACACCGCAAGACAAGTGCACTTGACAGTTCTACGAAAATTGTATTTTACTTCAATCTAACTAAGATGACATATCATAGTTTCACATTCCCTTCACAATCTCTTTAGGCGTTGAGATATCTTGCATGATGTCTGATATGATCCTCGACAAAAGATGCAATAAAGTAATAACTATGATTGTAGCCCTGTGGAAAGAAAAAAAAACAGTCTTCATTACAAACTCAAAAGTAGCAATACCTGTTCGCAAAGTAAGATATCGGATTTTTACAGTCTTCTCCATCTAACCAGCTAATTATGGGCATCAAAACATTGTGTCGATGAAGTTAATGTACCTCATGCAATCTCAAGGTCACCGGTACATTCTTTGACCTACAAGCCTCAACAAAGTTCTCTGGAAGCAGTTGAGATGGGTAAAATTCATCAGCTACACCCTACAGAGGAAAAAAAAGGGACCATTCAAGAACTGAATCATAATGCACACTTTTTAACTAACCCTTTACCCCTAAGAGTGACCAACATCTAATTTATCCTTGCACCATCACCCCTGAATGACACACGAAGAAGATCACAGGAACAGAGGAAATGATCACCAACCCTAGAAGCTCTTGATTATTGAACAAATTCTCCCTGTTGGCAACTTAAGAAGTGTAAAGAGAACAGTATGGAGAATATGCATGCAAATGTCAGGATGCAGAAGGTTAAGATAGTAAAACACCATTCCTTAGAGCTGGCCTGTAAAACTGACTCTTATTGCTTCTAGAATTGTGGTGAGAATGCTGACACACTGCAAGTTATCCATTAGTAATTTCTCAGATTTCCAAAACAGTTTGCCACCACCGTTTTATACTCTTGAATGGAGCAAAGCTATGAGATTTAAGCTTCTTGGCCAAGAGCCCATTTTAATGACTCTTTAGGGGCTAAAACCCAGACATTCTGACCTGAGTCAAGCTTAGGACCCTTTAGGCCACCACAACCTTCACAACCATAAAATTCAAGAGGATCAAATTGTTTTAACTTTTGCTCCACACAAACAATAACAATATCCAAGAGACAAAACAAAAGATTGCAGCAGGAAGAATTTCACTTTTACATGTATTTTTATTTTCATTTTAGACATAACCCCACAGGCAATTAACCCTAATTATCTATATCATATAAAAACTTTTTTAGAATCAGTTAATGATAATTTTCAATTGATACCTGATCAATGAGTATGTCTGGTGGAGGACCATCATAACCTTTCACTAGTTCAGTGGCATCGTACTCCTAACAAATAAGAGGATATAACACATTCAACCCTTTAACTCACAGAAGTGAGAAGTTGTTATCTTGATCTAACACCAAAGTCTTGTAACTTATTTACAAGGAAATGTGTAGCAGTTAGAGAGGAGAATTTACAATCAGATCTCATAGAAGCAGTTAAAGAATTAAACATTTTAAAAGAAATACATCTGTCAACTGATGTTTAAACTCTTGGCCAAACCAGTAACAAATTCAATATCTTTCATTTGTAAAGAGACATAATTATTTATCATTTACAGGATTGCTGCAGTTTTTGAGTCACAAGCTATATGCTATACTTTTTTAATCCCCAAATTCCGATAAATGGCCAATGTTTAACTTCTCCTTACAATATCCATATGTCATCTTGCAAATATGTGATGAGATTAAAAAAAACTGATCAGCTAGCTGCAGGTGTTAACAAAGAGGACATCAAATTCTCTATGTAAAACATCTCATCAAAATGTAGCTCAGGGAACAGGGAGAATCTTGAAAGTTTAAGGGTAAGCTATACGATGGTGGAATCCAGGGTTACCTTCCATGCCTCCTGGTTGCCTCCCAAATATCCAGTGAAGGCTTTCTGTCCCCAAGCCCCTTGCACTGGGTTGCAGATAGGTGCAAAGGCTGAAACAGACTGTGAAGAGAAAGGAGATTGAACAATAATTCTATTGTTTTAAAATGTTAACATGTAAAGTTAACATTTTGTCAAGAAAAAGCAGTTGGCAGCCGTAGACCTTGGTCAGCTACACAACTAATTCCCTTTCTTTTCCCTAGCCACTACATTCAATTTCAATTTCCCAAGAACTTGTAAGTATTTCATATTTTGTGATTTACCCATTTCCCTGAAATTTCTTTTAAAAATAACCCTGGCAAGTACTTTGATGGTTCATGTAAAGAAATATCAAGACAGGAAACTGTTGAAGCTTACCTTATAAAATCCTGGGTTTTTGAGGAAGCATATTAAAGCTCCATGACCACCCATGCTAAATAAAGACAACAAAACAAAGAAGTTTTCACCAGATAATAAAAATTGTATAAAAATGCTAACTAAAAAAAAAACACTATTGTCTAGAATGGAGTAATATTCTTTTTTTTTTAACAGTTAATAACCCAGTCCATCAAAAAAACATGAAAAATACATATGAAATTTTAAAGGCATGAACCAAGGATATTCTCAAAAAACAATCTACTTCTCTGAAAATTACTTTTATTTGATAAAGATGCTGCTTAGAAGAAGAACTCTTTTGCAAAAATGATGATAATCATTCTCTTTAAAGACTATCCATATGTTGTACTTATTTTTTTTTTGAACACCTTAAACTTTCCATAAGCATAAAATGCATTAATCTTGCCCTTTCCCACCCCCCCTTGAAATATGTAATGACTCTTAGGCATTCCCTAGAATAAAAAAATTTGCTGAAATATACAATAAAAATGATGATTCCAGTTACTGGGTTGCCATTCTGTGAAAAATATGTATCAAGTTAAGTTCACCTGTGGCCAAAAATGGACTGCTTGCCTGACAGAACAGGAAAGTTACTTTCAATCAAAGCTGGAAGCTGCAGATAAAATGAATTATACCACAATATTTAGCCAAAGGCTTCATGTCTGTAACCCAAAGTGGCCCAGCTTACAATGTTCATATCTCACTTTTTGAAGCCTGGACTCACTGCAACGAGTTATCATATAGAGAGTGTGTTTGTCTGACATTGTTAACTCCCATGTTATATCTTATACCTGAGAATTGAATGAGATTGACAATGAGAATTGTCACTGCCTCCACAACTCCCAATGAACCCTAAGATCCTGCACTAACCTCTTTTGTGATATATGAGTACATTCTGTAGTTTTTCTTCCACTTTTCCTCAGTTGCATCAATATAAAAACCAGCACCAGTTCCAAAATCATAACTATCATCTTCGCCTTCAATGCCACATGATCCTATGAAAATCAAGAGTTTCATGTTACTTGTCTGCCAACTCTGCTCATAGGAAAAAAAACATAGTTACCAAAATTAGTATCTTCCTTTCACTCCCATGGCAAATGCTCCATAGAACTTATCTCTCCTCATTCAAATTAACCATCTTCCTCAAGTGCTGATCCCTACCTCATCAAAAAGCTTTCACGGGGCATAACTCACAAACTAGTGTGCTAAAGCTTGCTTGATATAGCCTCTTACAATGAAATCAAACCTGCCCATGGTTCAATACCCCACAAGGACATAGGTTTTTCATCTTTGTCCTATGTTCATGACTCTGAAATGTTCAACATCTTTCTATCTCATTGTCAAACTTATAAATAGTAAACTTACGTGGGCTTGTGTCTGGAGCCACAATCAACACACCCAGTTCTGATGCAGTGCGTTGAGCACCAGCCTTTGTGATGAAGTTTTGCTCAGTGCATGTTAGACCTAAATTAGGTAAGAGCAAATGCGATGCCATAAAGAAAGCAAAATAACATTACTAAGCAATTAAGAGTTCTAACATTTTTTTTCGACATTGGTTTCTCATCTAGTAATAAGTCTGGTCTTCTATCTCAAATTATGTGTATTGTTGCAAATTGAGGGAGTTCAATCTTATAACAAAAAACTGTGTTTATGTGTTTTGTGATCAAACACCACACAATGAAGTAGCTATAATTCCTGATTAGAGTTTAGTTAACTGTTATAAAAATAACTACTTCTCATTTTATACAGTGGTGATGGTAAGGCTTTTGAGTAGCTTACTAGCCAGATGACGCACCCTGTCAAAGCTTATCCAATTTCCAGTAACATGGGAACACAAGAAGTATAGCTGCTCACCCTTGAACAGAATACCAAACCATAGCAGGGTTACCCCTATTCTCCCTGAGCTGATCTCAGTTTCAGTACTGTAGGGTACAAAGAAGCATGTTCTCACCCCAAAATGGAATTCCAAACCATAGCAAAGTTGCCTCACATCCCACTTGAGTACAACCCACTTTCAGTAATATGAGGCAACTAGAAGTATTACTTCTCATGCTTAGACAAAGTGCCAGACCATTTCCAGGTTACCTCCTGAATCTTGTTAGGTTTCAGTGAAAGTTCACTGACACCCAATTATACTTTCAGGTGAAGAGAGGCACTTTGAGAAAAAAGTGTCTTGCCTAAGAACACAACACAGTGGCCTGCCACAGCTCTAACCTAGATCTTGCATTCCAAAGATCTTCACTACGATGACTAGGTCACTGTCCCCCATACTCTATAAACAAAGACTAATTCATCAACAAAAACTGTGATCACCTGATAGCCAATATAACACTGGGACTTTATCCTTCTCTGCCTGAGGAGGGACATACACAGCAAATTTCATTTCACACTTCAGTTCCGAACTAAAAAAAAGGAAATTTGAATTCATACATCAACAACCTTTGTTCACACAATAACAAGAAAAGAACACAAAAAGGTGGCAAAGGAGGAGGGTGGAGAGGGGATTACCCTGTGCCACTATCACAGAAGTTGACAACCCTCAACAGTATTATTTCGATAAAGAGAAAATGAATGAGCTGTCAGTAAGCAGATACTTGTGTTTGAAGGATGAATCCAATTACTAGCAACTCATTCATTAATGCTTACAGACTTGCTTTCTCACCCAGAGCTCATCAAGATAAATCTTCTCCTAACTCCTGTAACGCACTGGACTGGGTTCATGCAGAGAATTGAAGATTTAATTAATTACCTAAGGGTTATTAATTTAATTAGGCACCTAAATCTCTGCGTCAAAACACAAGGAAATCTATGGCACTCATTAAGGAGATTTTAAAGGTAGACATTGGGGTAAAGGATCACTGAAGGACATTTGATAACATTTAACGCCCAGGAGGTTTCGATTTCTGGACGATTGAAGTATGCCTGTGTACTTCTCCTCGAGTTCGTTGCTGATGGAAAGCTGATGCCATTAAACAGAGCCTAAATCAAGACAGTTGAAAGTCAATAAATGAATCCTCAAAGAACAAGAGCTGCCGACCTTTTGTGCTTGAAAACCTTCTGTAATCCGCCAAAACATTTTGCACTAGATACTTCTTCCAGCGCCATGATCACTTGCCTAGTAAAGGTTCTGGAAGATATATGCAGAAATCGTGCGATGATTGGAATACCTGAAAAAGACAACTGACAGTTAGCAAGTATTTAAACGTTTTCATTAACTAAATCATGTCTAACAAAATCACTAAAGAAGAAAATAGTTTTTTAACAAATCTTACCCAGTTTACAAAATTGCTTTTAGGACGGAAGGTCGCGTAAGGGAGCAGTACCAGGTCTCCATCTGTCAAAACGGAAGAACTTTAAGGGTACGGTGGGGGGGGTGGGGGTGATCGTCATGGCGGTGTCTTCCACATTCCGCTCCCTACCCTATTTAAAGTCTGTTTGACCGTATTTTAAAAAGTGAGAGTTTGCCGGATGTAATGCTTCATTCAGGGCTGCTATTCTTGCAGTAACCATCGCCTTACTCAGCTTCAAGTCTTTCTGACTGGATCTTCAATCGGAAAAACTAATAATTAGCAGGATCCTATGTTACAGATTCTGCACTTTGACAGTTTTCTCCCAAGAGCGCCCATGTTAGGAGCTCCCTCGTAAAGCAGAAACCTCTACCGTGAAATTTATTTCTGTCAATGGGCTAAAATCATATCTATTTCTGAATTCTGGCCGAGAATCTGTCATGATTCCCCTATTATTCAGGCTAACAAAGAAAACAAGTGCACTCATATTCTCTTAACGTGCACGAAACTGCAGTAGTCAGTGACAACAAGAGAACGAGGCTTTGGACGTCAGCTGCTAGAACCTCATTTTTCAAGACTGCTGCATTTTGCGTGATTATGGAAACACCGTTTAATTTTTATGTTTGAGATATGAACGTTGGCCTCTATTTCTTGCCGTTTCCTGCACAGATAACAGAACACAGGAAGAAACCCAGAATAACTAAGCGGTGACGCAGATAGACTGTGGATAAGGGAAGTACAGATTATCAGATACGCTATCAACCAGTAGTATAGTATTATACAACATAAAATCCCTTCTCGAAAACATCTGGCATGCAGTTATTTTTTTAGGCGGCAGTTCTCAAACCATTGTCGCCAGGAAGTTAGTCGGCAAAGGTTATCAACACTCGCGCCGATTTCAACATTTTTGTGTAATGACCATGAGGTTGATTTGTCTTGCTGGTTAAACATAGGTCTATTTATATACGTTTGACGATGTGTTATTCCAAGTTTACCTCACACTTTGCAACATGTAACAAGGGTGTCAGCTTTAAGAGTGAATATCCTGGGGAGAAACTCGGAATTTCAGTAATTCCTCAGAGGCTGGTTTAGTTTTAACCCTGCCACTCCCAAGATCTAAATATGATGGTCGTCATCTCTCGCTTTACTTTGGTTAATGATTTTAGCTCTGAGAATTTGGTTTTACACCAAAAACATTTTTCTAATTGATATTTTCCATCTTATCATCACCTTCTTTTGGAAATTTACTGATAGTACAGGGAGAATTTCCGTTTTGCTCATTCTATCGAAAATAAAAGGGCTAAGTGTGCGGTGCATAGGTAGATTGTGATCATGTGCGACGCGGAACTCCACAGGCGGTCTATTATTAACTTTAAGGTCGTTATAAAAGAGGTTAAGATCTTTTTTGACTTTTCCATAATCTAATTAATTAATAGCAGACGTTTCAATGAACTTACGCAAATGAAAACCGCAAGCAAATTTACGGTGAAATAAATCCGGAAAGCGGAAACCGTGTTTTAACCACAAAGAGATACCATTGCACGCCCTTACGAAAGTAATGGATTTAAATATAAATATGGATTAGACTAGTAGAAAAAATGCGGGGGCAAACGATTACGTTCTGAAAATTACTGAGCAGCAAGCAATTAAAAAATTTTGCCGGTGTTTCGAGGGCTTAATTTGCCCACAATTTTACCTGGCTACAGCCTTTTATATGGAACACCAAAAGGATAGGAAAGAGAAAGAACTTTGCTGGCTCGGCTCCGAAAGATTTCAGAATCATCAGGCAATTAGCACAATTTACTCTTACACAACAATCATGGAATATACTATTGACGCCCAGTTGAAAACTACGCATGCTTCAGTAGTAAAGCGTCGGAATTTTGCCCACACGACCCTTTAATCTCACAGCTGTTGATCTCTACAGTTGCAAGAGTTTCCTTGGCTGTAGTAAACTTATTACAGTAATTAATATATATTTTTTAAAAAATGTTTTCATGCAGGCTGCTGTTGTAGAATCTCAATGTTTCTCACTGGTCTCACCCGAGAAATAAAAGTTTCAAGTGTGAACTGCCATCAAAGAGAAAGAGGACTGGGAATAGCACGGTCGGGGCCTCGTGGCAACATTTCGTTATGAAATTACGACTAAGTGTCAACAAATCGAAGAAAACGAACCACTTGTAGGCAGTTTTATTTCTTTTAAGTCATGTGTCAGTGCACTCGAGCTTGACACCTCAAAAGATTTGAAGTCCAAGCACAGTACTTTGTTTCAATTATGATAGTCTTGTGATGCTTGTGCTCTCCAGGTTTCTTAGCTTTTCAATGTAATTGGATTTCAAACACACAGTTGGTAGTTTTGTTTACCACTGAGCTGTCATCTCCGTTCATTTAAACCTATTTGATTCATTCGGCTTGCTCTAAGGCAGTTTTAATGACTCGTGAATTAGCTTAGTGATTCGCTCATGGTGTGTTGTTGGGAACTATTTTTGCAATCATTGGTTCGGTTAGGCGCCACAGATTTTTCTGATCCGCTTAGTCGTGTAGAAACAATAAGAATTTAGATATGATCAAGCTCTGAACAGTCTCTGGGATATTTGTTCAGTCGGCAGGAGGCGTAAATTTTGCCATTACAGGTGTTAGCTTTGACAAGTTTAAAGAGAGAAACAGTTACTTCCTGTCGCGGTGAAGTGTGCTCATGTTTAAGAAAATGTTTATCAGTTTGAGGTATCGGCTGTGTCGAGTTCCCAGTGGGATGCAATATCTTTTAAAAAAAAAAAATGTGAGACTGACCAAACTCAATGGTTTGACCTTGACAGATTGGATGGTATTAAGCTGACTAAATTGATAAAACTAATTAATGGAGATGACGCCTGGATGCGATTCTCGGACTTTTTCGGTATTTAGTTTGCTTTCTTTCTCTTGTTGTTTTCTTTAGGTTCCCGGTGTAATTAAAAAAAAAAAAGGCTTACATTCCAAATTCCAATTCGACCTCAATGGAAACAGTGCACAAAAAGTCATTCAAAGGGGGAGGGGGCTCCTAATCCCGTTTCACGCACAATTGTAGAAAAATTCATCCGCCATTTGTATTTTAATCAGTCTTTGACTTGTTCGTTTTCACGAATTAAAAAGAGAAAATCATAAATTTCACCTTATCTTTCCTCTTTGTTAATTTTGCATGGCACGTATTAATTTTTGACTTAATTACGCGTAAAGTTTAAAGCATTTGCCACCCTCAACTCGTAGAAGTACTTTTGCTAAACTTGTATATAACTATTTATCTATTGATGCATTTATTTATTCAATCCGTCTCTACTAAATGTTTGTTATGGCAAATCTATATTGAACCAAAGTCTCTATGATGAACTTTCCTGTGCATCAGAACGTACCAATTAAATTGCAATTTACATAAAGGTCAGTTTTACCCGTGACTCCATTACAACAGAAGTGATTCAGGATTCCCGACAAGTTTTCACCGGGAGGGTTTGGGTGTTTGCTTATTGCTTTTCCTTCCTTCGCAGTCAGAGGACCTTTCATGTGACAAAAATAGAAATAAAGCGGTAACAGGCCATACATCTATTCTTAACTAAATTGGTCATATACTTCGTGTCATTTATGCGCCCCTGAGAGGAAACAATCACCTCTACGCCTATTTTATATATAATTTATCTTTTCTCTCTTGAATGTTAATTACCCCTCCCACTATCATGATTTATCTGGAGTCAGTTTAGCTCTGTCATTGTCCAGATAATTCGCTAGAAGATAGCTCTGTGGACTAGACACCTAAATGAAAGGCAAAGGCAATTTTTAAGTTACGGCAATAGTAATTGGAAGGGGCTTGAATAACATTTCCGAAAATTATTGATAAAGGGTTTTTCGAAAAATATCACACAACTTGAAGCAGGACTATTGTTTAAGGCTTCCTGTTATTCATAGGCTGATGATTGATTTTTTGCGCTTATCAAAGAAATGGAAATAGACCCAAACAGATTTTATCGGACGCCCGTGTTTTTCATCGCCCAACTTTGCTTATATTTTTCTTCAAGGAGAAAAGGCGAGAGACTTGAATTGTCGCAGAGTAATATTTCCCATGAAAAATGCAAGATATTGCTAAATGAAACAGAAAAGCTATATCCATATGCGCGCGGTATATCTCAAGGTTACATAATCACTCAAGCAGCCTCTAAAACGGCTTATTGCTTAGATATTGGGCATTATTTGGCAGAAAATGTCACCCTAAGTATGGATTTTGGCGTCAATTGTTTTATGCAAATGCAGTTTTAGTGCTTTTCTTTTAGTTCCGGGGCAATTTAAAACGATATATTTTCGTGACAAGAGCTTCCTTTTCGAGAGGGCGCAACCACTGGTGATTTTAGATTAACATAAACTTTTTCAGGCGATTGTAACTGAAATTGTAGAACGTGTGGTGGGCACTTTATCGGCAAAAATCTCTCGATGACTCTGAGAGCCTGAAATACATATACCTACAATATAAGGAAATGCAATGATTTCCACTCAAGAGCCTACAAAATATTTACATAATTACAATGTTGCATCGTGAACACCCATCAAAGGAAAAACAAAGCAGCTGTCGTAATCTCCCACATATTTTGTAAAATTCGCTTCATTTTTTTTTTCACATGTAGAAATTAATCGACCCAGGAATTTGAGTGTATATTTACATATCAAGATCTGTAAAATACTTGAATAAAAGGAGAAAATGGCCTTCAGCTCTTAGTTTTGTTTTTGTATAAATGGTGATGTTATTGAAACCAAAATGCTTTGTTTTCCCACAAACTTTTCTTTTCGTTTTGAAGATAGCTGAAGCTACAATAAAAATTTATCTTCATGTGAATGTTCTCAAAGTATGTCGGAATTTCCGTTTCCCGCCCTCGCGCCACGAGATCTGAAAATGAAAGGGCTGTCAAACAAAACGAATATCAGCCAATCACAGTTCGACGTTGGATCACATGTAAAAACAGAAGAAAACCATGCGAAGTTCTTGTCGAATGAATATGCGAGATCGTTGCACGGATTGAAGGTCAC